AAATCTTGCTAAACTCCGTCTGATAAGGTGTTGAGGTGTGTCCCGAACGTGTTTGCGCTTGAAAAATATTAAGACATATTTTGTAGTGTCGGAGAAGTGTTGATTCATGTTGGATTAGTGTCGGCGTCCGATACGTGTCCGACACAGCTACAACACTTTTTTAAAAGTGTCTGTGCTACAAAGGTCTATTTTCTCAGAAAAAGGTGATAGATTTACTTCCAAAGTGTGGAAGAAGATTAGGGAAGTTTGGCACCATATTGACTTTTGTAACAGTCTTTCACCCTCAGACGAATGACCAGTCGAAAAGGGCTATTCAGACTTTGGAGAATCTACTAATGTCATTTGTCCTTGAATTTAATGTAGGAAGGGAATCACATATACCTTTAGCAGAATTCATTTACAATAACTATTATCACACTAGTATCAGGAAAAATTCATATGAAGCTTTGTATGGAAGAAAGTGTATGACACCTTTATGTTGAGCTGAAACATCTGAACAAGGATCATTGGAGCTTGCTTGATTGATGATGCTAGTGAAAAGATTAGGTTGATTAGAGAAAGATTAAGAATAGTGCATGATAGACAGATAAAATATTATGATGCTAAGCACAAAAAAGTCGAGTTTGAAGTTGGAGAACTTATTTTTATTAAAATTAGTCCATTGAAGGGTGTGCTTTTGAGAAGATAGTAAAATTGAGTCCAAGATATGTAGGTCCATATGAAATTGTGAAGAAAACTGAGGATGTAACTTACCGATTGGCTTTACCAGCTCATATGCAAGGAGCGCATAATGTTTTCTACATTGCTTCACTTAGCAAGTATATTGATGATGATAAAGTAGGGTGATAGCAGACTTGATTGATATACAACCTGATTTGACTTAGAAGAGCCTAAAAGGATTATGAAATATGAAGTTAAGAGCTTCATAATAGAGAAATTTCATTTGAAAAGATTTCCACAGTTTTTCATTTGATGCATGTTTGCTTTCATGATTACTTTCAAATTTCAAGCATGAAATTTTATAAGGAGAAGAGATTATACTAATTGAAATTTTAAATAAATAAATAAATAATAATAAATCGAGTTTGCAATGTAGGACAACCGCCGCTACAGTTAGGCTTAAAGGTCGAATGGGTTACACTCAAGAGTTTATCTTTCATTATAGAAACTTGGGAGAGCGAGAGCGAGTGAAAAACAAAGCGTGAAGTAGTCGTGTCTTAGCCAAGCAAAGAAGAAAAAGAAGAAGAACCCAACCACAGACTTTCTGTGCAGGAGGAAGAATCAAGGGCTTCTTGTGTGGGAGTTTGCATAGATAGTTGACGTTGTAGCTCGCTGTGGTTTGTGTGTGTGTGTGTGTGTATGTGAATACAGACTCAAAATATAGAAATTTTGGCTTGGAAGAAGGAGAAGTTGGTAAAGTATGTGAGCTAAGGAGGGAGATTAATCAGAGCAAACTTCGGTAAAGTACGAGTTTGGAGGTTTATTTATATAACATATTTTGTTTAATTAAATAAATGTTATTAAGTATGATTGAATGAATTTAAGTCGTGGTTAACGAAAAATTAATTCAATGAATTAGAGCGTTGGATCGTGAAGTAGTAGAGAAAATAAGAAGGTGATAGGAAAAGGAAATAATCACAAGTCTAAGCTTGTACAAAGGTCATTTAAGACAAATGTGAGTAGAGTAAATAATGAGGTAATAGTAAAAGGAAGTAATCAGAGGATTAAGCTTTTAAGGAAATCATTTAAGACAGAGGTGAGTAATTACTTTCTTATTGGCACTATATATTTATATAGATATTGCATTTGAACTTGATTAACTTGCATAAGGTTTTAAAAATAAACATTTCATTTATGTTTTGTATTTTAAATGTTTGAAAAATTTCTCAAAAATGGGAAGAAAATAATTAATATATTAAGTGATCATAAATTGATATGAAATGATAAGTAAAAGTTTCAGTTAATAAAAATTATCTTCGGATAGTACTGCCAACGGATGTATGTACCAATGCACGATAAAGGAAATGAAAATAGTAAATGCATATCTTTGAGTAATTTTGAGGGTATCAACTCGGATAGTACTGCCAACGGATGAAAGGAAATGAAAATAATAAATGCATATCTTTGAGTAATTTTGAGGGTATCAATGAGTATAATTTTGAGGATATATTTGAGTATGAAGATAATCCTGATATGACTTCATAAAGATGTTAAAAATAATAAATACTCAAATTTAAACAAAAAAGATTAAATTTAAAACAAAAGCTTACAGTTTAATTAAGTGATGAACTACATTTTTTTTTAGACATTCATTCATAACATTTACATATGAATTTTATGCATAATAAGATTTTAATTGCTCATTAAGTTGTAAAAACTTACTATTAAATTTAATTATTTTTTTTCAGGAAAAACTGTAGATTAATATGTATAATGGAAGAGATTTAGTTTACATGAGGAGAACTACCGCTGATAGGTATTGAGATTGTAGTTTATTTGTACTGTTGTCTTATGGATAATGATATACTATTATATGTTGGTTTGAGTTGTTGTCTATAGACTATGCACATATTTTTGGATGTTTTGATTTATGTACAGTATACTTTGTGGTTTCTTAGTAGCTTTTCAATGTATATTAGAAGTTCTGAAAATCTATAAAAAGTATATTAAATGTCAATACCGTCCGAACAAGATTCCTAACTTAATTAATTCTAAGCTATTAGGCCGGGTCGTATATATTAGAAGTTCTGAAAATCTATAAAAAGTAAATTAAATGTCAATACCGTCCGAACAAGATTAATAACTTAATTAATTCTAAGCTATTAGGCCGGGTCGTGACACTCCCAATCTCTTTTTGGAATTTGGACTCCCTTTTATTTAAGTTAATAAGTAGTAATTGGTCTTAATATGTATCATCAAGTTATGATTGTATTTGAATGAAAGCTTGTTTCACTTGTGTTTATTTGTTTTTCTTATTCTTTCCACTTGGAGAGGATCTTTTAAGGAATGAAACAATCATGATGAAGAACTACTTGTAGATATAAACTTCATTTATCCCTGATGCACCACCACTGGTTATTTTAAATCTAGTAAGGTCTAAATAATTATTAGCTTATCATTTTTTTCTTTCTTAAGATTAGAAATTTAGAATGGTTAATAATTATAACTTCAATCATCTAACCTTCGCTATATTCTTATTATAAAATTTATGCTCAATAGCAATTGCTTATTCATCAATATTACATCATAAGATTTTAATGAATCCTTAAATGCTATTCATACATAGGCATCACATCATTGAATCCAAAATAAATAATGTAAATCTAACGTACCTTAAGTTCTAAATTTTTTAAATGCCTTTGGGTTGGTCATGGAATTTTGAAAATGAAGGGGTAATTTGAAAATTTTTAGTTTATTAATGTACCAGTAAGGCAATTCGCCAAACAGCTAGCAAAAGGTAGCATATAAAAACAATAATGAAAGTCATTTCATAATTTAAGAAAACTGCCCTATAGATGTTTTTTGTGATTTCAAAGTTTTAATGGATCATACCGCACCATGTGATATATTGTGAAGGTGCTATGCCAATGTTTTCTAAGTTCTCTAAACTAAATTTAAGGTAAAATAAAGTGCTTCAATTTTTTGATTTTCTAAGCTTATTGTAAACTGAGATCAGGAGCAGCATACCATGATATGAAAGCTGTTAACAAGTCGAATTTGAATGTCTTTGTTCAACTTGAACTCAGATTATCGAGTTCACCTCGACTCGAACTCGATTAGAAATTGATTTAATTTTGGAAAAAATCAAATATTGCCAACTAGTAAATTATTTTTAAATTATTATATATTGCATCCAAAAACAGCATGAAATCAGCCTGAGGTTCTCTCATCTCATCTAAATCTTCGTAGTCAACAATGAAAATAGACTTAATTCAACAAAAAACTTAAACATTAGATTGGACAGTTAGTTTAATTACGTAAGAAAGTGTTGTTTCAGGGATACAAAACCCCAAAACTAATCATTAGGCCACAAAGCAACCACTAAAGAACACACTATTAACTAAAGTATAATATTTTAAGGTTACTAGATAGAGCTGAAAGTTAAACAGATAGGTCTGGCATTGACAGCAAAAGATAACATAACGAACAGATATTAAACAGATGCTAAATATATGAAAGTAAGCTTGGATAAAAAAGATAGACCTGCAAATACAATGAAGATGAAGTAACGTACATGAGTAGACTAAAATAAACAAGTTTTATCCGGATAAGTGTCTGGCAAGTTTGGCTTATCAGGCTCACAGATTTACTCATGGCTGTAGCAGAGTCATAAGGTAATGACCTGAAATTGGGGTTTGAACGCTAATCATGGCAATACCAATTTCCAACTTTCCTACCCCCAATAATATTACCAACTATGGTTCTTCTCCATTCGCCTGTCCCTAACTTACCACATTTTCATTCTGTTCCTCGTTGCCCAATCCTTCATCATGACATAGCAACCTCAATTTCTGCTCTTCTCTAGATTAATCAATGAGCTAAAACTCCTTGCAAAGTTCAGTTAAAAAAATGTTGGGGAATTACATATATGAAAACTAGCTAGTAAAATGGGAGCAACAAATCAATAACACGTTTGAGGGACATTTACATACAAAACCACAGAATTATTATGTATTTAAATATCTAAGAACCAAAGTTTAATATTTACACTTATAAAACTTTCAATGTTAAAAGGATAGTGATAATGGTGTTTTTGATGTCAAGTTAAAGATTTGAGAGGTATGCATGTAAATATGAATGTTTAGGAGTTTAATATGTAAATACATTAAAATTGCATGGTATGTAAGTAAATGACCCTGCTTTTTAATGCCTTCGAGTAACATGGAAAGTGTTATCATCAATCCAGTCTAGCATTTTAATACCAACATGTGACTAAAAATAAAAAAAACATTTGCAGGATGTCCCAGCAAAACAGCAAAACAGCAAAACAGAGTACACACCTTCCATGAATTGGCAAAAGAATGTATGCCTTCAAAAATATATCAACTCCTTTCCACCACCGCCTCAGCTTCAAAAAACATTCAGATTTATCATCCTGAAGACATATTCATACTAAAATCTTTTAGCAAAAGAAATAATCCAAAAAATCTAGACATAGTGGAAATGTACGTAACCAAAATTTCATTGTGAAGCTCTCTACTTTAAACAAAGAAATAATGTTAAATAATAAAAACAAACTAAATCAAGTTAGATCTTAAAAAATTCACGATGAAAAGTAGTTTCAGAATTTTTCTATGGACCGTAACAAGAATGGTTCATGGCATCTTTTATTCCATTTTAGAAGAAAAAAAATCATCAAGAAATTATGAATGTTACAATTTTGAAGACTTTCCTCGGTAAATGCAGCACTAAATACAGTATGAAGGGTAATGAGCCTCGTGCCATGAAACATTTAATCTGCAATTTCTTGCAAACATAATAAATAGACAATTACTTATGGGGTTGAGTTACAAACCTTCTGGGATAAAGCTTTTTCAAGCTTTCCAAAAAAGAATGTGTTGAAAATATGATAATCACACTGTGGCCTACATGCTGTGGGTTCAGTTCTTTGAAGGTATCTAACAAAATAAATCAACAAATTAGAAGAAACTATGAATAAGCAAAGAAAACCTTATCAATGTTATCAAACTTAAACTGAGCTTACTGCTTCAAAGATCAAAACAGAAATACATCACACCTTAATAAAGTTAAGTAGAATCGAGCTACTTGAAGTATAATTCAGTTAATTATGACAAACAAATGCTCTATCAGAAAGAATTATCATTAATATGCAAGCACAGGCCCGTGATCAAACAAAAATACAAGGCAAAACATGACAAGATGAATAAATTAAAAAAACAAAAACTTAATTATAAACAAGGAGTGTTCAGATAGTGCTGTAGGACATTGAACAGCTTGGAGAAACGATTGAGTATATTTAATCCTGTAAATATATAAAAAAGTACAATTAACCGCATAAGCATAAATTTGTAAGTACAACTAGGAAGTAAAGTTGGAGATCACTCCGTCAAACATTCTGTCAAACAGAAAGTGAGGTATATTAATAGAACTATAAAAGCAAGGTAATGAGAATATAAGAATCTAAAATAAGATTGATGTTAGATATTAGGTTAAAGTGGCATCAGATTTGTTCAATTTCCGTTAGTCACTGTATGTAAAAAAAGTTTTCAATTATATTTTTCGGGAGTTTTAAGTTTGGCGTGATTTCTGCCGAATTCAAGTACCAAATTCTACCGCGTCCACTTAACAATCTTCCAAAAGTGCCCAAGCCCCATAATGAGGCGTCAACATATATACCGTGGCATAAGTCAAAAGTCACTAAATCATCTCTCCAACAAACCAGAGAATACACAGCTTACCGTTCATCACTAGCCAAAAAAATCTATCTTTTCATAATCTCAAACATATTATGGTTAATATTAAAATAAATTTATATAATCTATGGGCTGGTATAATCAAGGTTTTAAATAAATTTAATTAGCATAATAATAATAATAATAATAATAATAATAATAATAATAATAATAATAATAATAATAATAATAATAATAATAATAATAATAATAATCGGTGATACTGGAGCTATAACCCAAATCACATTAGGAAAAAAAATACTATTATCGAAAACAAATAGACGGTTACAATCAATACACTCGGAAAGAAAAATACGACACACACAACACATAACTCATATTATAGCAGCTCCCGGGTGATGGAGGTGACTGTTAGAGGGCTCGGAGAGGTGGCAGCAAGGTAGGGAAGGGGTTTCCAGCTGTGGATGAGGGGTAGCAGTGGTTATGGGCAACTGGCAGAGTAGGACAACACGGAGCGACAAAACAAACAACAGCAGATTATTGTTTGGGGCAGCTGGACAGTATGAAAACAGCAAAGGGAGGGAATTGCGAGCAACGACAATGAAATCAGAGGGCTGAAACAGCGAGGGCATAGAGGAAGAGCGAGGAGAGGGTGATGGGGGAGGTTGGAAAGACTAAAAACAACAATCAAGATGTTGTTGTGGGTAGCTGCAATGAGATACGACAACATGGAGCAATGCGAGATTATGAGGAAGGGGATAGAAAAAAGATAATCACCACGTTGAGAGAGAGATATAGCTAGAGCATCACCTAATCTCTTGGATATAGCCCTTGAAGGGAAAAACAAACGTCGACGGCTAATCTGACAGAAATCCGAAATAAAACGGACTAAAAACTACTAATACAAACCCTAACATACACATATATAGGGAATCACTAAAAGAACGAAGGATAATAGGAAAGAAATAATAGGAAAGGAAAACAAGACTGGTTTGGCAGCCCGACTGTCGTTTCTCGCTATTTCTTTTCTTGCAGTACTGTAGTAGTTACAGTACTGTGAGAAAACTATGCCGAAAAGAGCTCCTACGTCAATCTTCCACGATTGGGGGAGCTTTGATTTCATTCATCAAAGCTTCTGGCTCCTCATAGCAGGGAGTCAAGTCTGTCAAGTTGAAGTTACTAGAGTCATATTAGTCCTCTAGTAGGCCGATCAAATAGACATTACCATTGCACAACACATTCTAGTAGAGTAGGTATCCGTCCTCTTTTGGCACAACCTGAGTTGGCACTAGAGATAGAATGGTATTCTCACGAATCAGGTATCAAGACATCCCATTTGTAAACTACTTATTCCACTCCTCGAATCCAGCAGAAAGTAGCTGATAAATTAAACGTGAGGAGAAACAACTATTGGGTGAAATGTGTCGCGATATGCACCCCTCATTAGCAATCACTCAGGAGAGACTTCTTATTTATTGATAGGACATGAATCCTATTAAAGAATTTCCTTCCTCATCAAGTTCCTAAGACAAAATTTCAAGATGGGGTTTGTAGCTGATAAATTAGACGTGAGGAGAAACAACTATTGGGTGAAATGTGTTGCAATCTGCACCCCTCATTAGCAATCACTCAGGAGAGACCTCTTATTTATTGATAGGATATGAATCCTATTAAAGAATTTCCTTCCCCATCAAGTTCCTAAGACAAAATTTCAAGATGGGGTTCATTTCTCCTATCTGAACATCTGATGATGAGTACCATGCTGAACTGAATCTAACATCTTAACAACTCCATATAATCTTTCCAACGTGCACAAAAAGGTCTCATCTTTGACAGGCAGGACCTCCATCAACAGCGACAGCTCAAGGATGAGTCGATAGATCTGAAAGGTCTGAATTTCTCTTATCTGGGGTTGTCTTATGTCTGATATTAGCTCCCTAAACTCCCGACCGCTTAAAACATCCAAGGTCAGTTCTGTTGATGCTTATCTCAAAATGTTGAAATCATCTCAATGTCTATAAAATGCTAGCTTGAGGCACCATAATCTCGTACTCAACCGAAATGTCAATTACATCAGAGTCACTACTTTCTAGAACATTTATTGTTACCTCAGCTGGAATCTCTATCTTGGGGTCAACTGGAGCCGATGACGTCTCTTCCCAATTGGCAAAAAATTGAGAATCCTCTCTGATGTCCGCATATTCTTTCGGATCACAATTTATCTCATCAACTGGAAGCTATTCCTCTTGCTTTGTGTCCTCACTGTCTTCAGTGTTTGAGTCATTACCCAATTTTTCAAGAACACCATGCTTTATCAAATAGATCTCCCCCTAATTGTGCAGTCTGATTCAAAATACCAAATCTGTAACAATTCCAACACATTTTGTCTATGATAGATATAGAGATACAAATTGGTTCCACCTTTTTTCCACTTTGATTCAATTTTTCCTCTGACGGGGTCATCTTGGATACTTTTTGGCTAGGATAAATATAGAGATACAGATTGGTTCCACTTGTTCTCTACATTGATTCAACTTTTCCTCTGATGGGGTCAGCTTTGATATTCTTCTAGGTGTAATCTGGCTGTAAAACCCTGAGGTTGAGCGCTCCCGATGAAGTGGTCTCTCCACTTCTGAAGCTAGAGTCTGAATCTTCTGTCTATCGTAAGTTGATAGGAACTGGCGCTTGAGCTCCAGTTTCATCTTCAAATTTTACCATTCTACACATGCTGGCTCTTCTCTCAGCATCCTCTGATACGGGATTCCAAAGCGCCATGGATGGTCTTTTACATCACTAAAGTCCTTCCTATGGAAGATATTCAGAGTCTCGACACTTGCTCCCTTTCAATTCTCCAAATCCCGATCGAGGGTGATCCCCCCTCCCCCCCTCCCCGTGTTTCATCCTCAATATCTGCAAGCCTCTGCTGAAGCCGGCGGACCTCTCATTGTAGCTCCCCCCGGTAGGCTCTAGCATAAATTTCTTTGGTGGCATGACTAGGGTTTAAGATTGGGAGGTGAAAGAGGTATAGGAGAGTCAATGAAGGAGTAGGAAAGCTAATCTGGGATTGTTGATTTTGAAAATCAGCAGGGGAAAATTAGGGTTAGTTAAAATTTAGCCATGGTTTGAGAATAGAAAAGTAAACTTTTGATAGAGGTAACTTGGGTAGAGCCGGATGCTAAAAAACCCTATATAGGACTAGGATTAGGCGACGAATGCTAGAAAACCCGAGATAGGACTAATTAGACTAGCTCTGATATCCAATGTATTAGAGTTAACCCAAACCACATCAGGAAAAACAAATATTATTATCGAAAGCAAATTGACAGTTACAATCAACACACCTGAAAGGGGAAAGCAACACACATGATACACAACTCGCGTTAGGGCGGATCTCGGGTGATGGTGATGATGGTTAAGGGGCTTGAAGAGGTGGCGACAAGGTAGGGAAGGGGTTTTAAGACTATGGATGAGAGTGGCAGTGGTTATAGGCAGCTATAACAGCAGAACAACACGGGGCGACAGTCCACTATGGATGAGAGTGGCAGTGGTTATAGACAGCTATAACAGCAGAACAACACGGGGCGACAGTCCAAACAACAATATATTGTTGTTTGGGGCAAAAAACAACAAAGGGAAGACATGCGTGTTGCAACAACGAAGGTGGAGGGCTGGGACAGCGAGGGCAACGAGGGTTGTGGGGACAATGGAGAAGAGGATAGGAGGAAGATAATCACCACATCGGGAGAGAGATACAGCCGAGGCACCACCTCATCCTAGGATATAACCCTCGAAGGGGAAAACGGACGTCGGCGGCTGTTCTGACATAAATAAAAAAGAAAACTTACAAAAAACTGCTAATCCAAACTCTAATACACAAATATTTAGGAAATGACTAAAAAGGAATGAAGGATAACATGATAGAAATAGTAAGAAAGGAAAATGAGACTGTTTTGGCGGCCCAACTCTTGCCTTCCGCTATTTGTTTTCCCGCGTTATTGTAGCAGCTACATCAACGCTAGAAAACTGTGTGGGAAAAGCTTCTGTGTCTATTAAATAATGATCTTTAATAAAAAAAAGAATAGAATTTAACTGACCAACATAGATTCAGTGGAATCACACTACTCAGTTTGCATTTATGAGGGATGCTGATGCAGAGACTTCACGTGAAATCGCAGAATCGAAAATCCCGCGATCCTAAGATGGTGAACTTCCACAATCCCGATGAATTGGGATTTCCCGCGATT